CACTGTGAGATCACAACTACTAATGAACCTTGATAAAGAAACAACATATGAGTAAGTATAACAATGAATGAATAAACATATTAATGTATTGATGTAACTCACTTTAGAATAACAGTAGCAGCAACTAATAATGAAGGAGGTATTGGAGAGAATACTACCTACATTAGAGCTACAGGTTAACATTTTAAAAATAGCTTTAATAGTATTTATATCCTTATTAGGTAGTCCATTCAGTGTTGATGATACTATTGAACTAATGGTCAATAGAGTTGCTGCATTAACATCACAAATATCATGGACAGTACAAACTATAAATCAAAACTTAAGACTTCAGTACAGGAGACTAGGTATAATAATTAGTAACGGATAGCGTTACTAAGTATGATTCACCCCACTTCAACATAGCTGCCACAGCTTTTGCAGGCTTGCTATATACTGGGAAAATTGCTATTGTATTAATATTTATAATAATCTCTCTCCTTCTTTGAGGTATGGAGTGGTCTAATGATAGACAGATGACTTTCTCACCTTACGCAACCAATCACAATTTCCTTAACTTGACCTCTGAGACTACTTATGAACTAAGACTGATAACACTAATAATGGGAAGCTGTGAACAAAGGACCAGTAGAACTGTCAACTTTACTACCATTAGTATGAATAAGCTCTGCATTTCTTTCTCTATAGTATTGTTATTATTATTTTTGTAGAGCTCCAGGTAGTCGTTAATGCTCCTAATAATGGAACAACATTCACTGCTGGAGAGAGAATTGTACTTACTTGTGATCTTGATACTGGTGGAGCTCCCTCCACTGATGTAATGTGGACGTAAGTTTAACTTTAATGTTTATTGTATCATTCCTGTCTTCTCTTTATAGGTATAATGATGGTAGTATTCCCTCCACTGCCACTGCTGATGGTAATACACTCACATTATCCTCCCCCTCAGTTGATGACAGTGGTAATTACACATGCTCATTCAGAAATTCTTCATATAAATTTGCATTAATGATCAATCCAGCACCAACAACTTCTGTTGCAACACCTGACAATTCAGCAGGTAACTCAAAGCAAGTATACATAAATGTACATGTGCACATATATGTACTAGACTAAGCAGTTGCTTTAAATCCACAATATTCATGCTTAATATTAATAAAAATGCAATTGTGTTAAAGAACATTGATACTAAATTGTATGCATTCATAGGGCCCACTATACTTATAACTATTGTGAAAATGATGAACTGCAAGAATTAGTGATTAATAGCTTCTAACTCTTACCTTTTTTCTTCTCTCCATATAGTTATTACCATTGTTGCTGCTGTTATTGGCATTATCCTGCTGTTAATAATAATGGGTGGAGTTATTGTTATTGCTGTGTACATGATATATCTGCATGCCAAAAAAGGTATGCATAAGCAGAGTAGATCATATTATATGCATGCATGCTTATAGGTGCTAATAAAGGAACTACACAAAGTACAATACCTTTTGTTCATAATGCAGCATATGGACAAATAACAGGAGCAGAAATAATGGATGTAGGAGCCTTAGGGAATGTTGCATATGGTTTGACTAGTCAGCAGGCTGCCACTCATGTGTATGATGCAATGACTTTTGAGCCTGAGTACATTTAAATTTAATTTTTAAAAATAAAATTAGTAATGGTCATCAATGATTATTTTGATGTCATGGTGTGTATTGCAGTACCTTATCTATTGTTTTAATGATAATTATTATTCATGAATGTTAAATTTAGTCAAATCTAGCCCTGCATGTTTTCCTGGATAGGTGTGGCTGCTGATCCATCCGGAATTTCAATTTGCCTTGCTAGGGTAGCTGCTAGTTTGTTATTTTTCCAGCAAGTTTTGCCATTCTTCTTGCCGGAGAGGGGCCAGCGGACAGAGAAAAGAGTCTTCAATAGCTGTTAACAGGACCAGACTACACTCGAGTGCTTCAGTTTATACAAGCGGCCTGCAGCGAGTTTCAAAGCCTTGACAAGGTGGGAGTGAGGCCAAAGAAGGCTGTGGTTTGCAGAGTGTCCTCTTCTAAAAGTTTCCAAAGATGTTGCTCGTGTCTCTGTTATTATTAGCCCTTTCTTTGGGTAAGGAGATTTAAAGTGACTTGCTATTGGTAGTTTCTCTTTTCAGGTCTAGCCCAGGCACAGTGCCCTCCTAATGTAACTTCTATCTTCATACTTAATGATAGAACCATTAATGTACCACTCACAGAGCCATTGTGGGGGATCCT